GTGTGGGAAAATTTAGATTGATCACACTGGAACAATGTGTGGGAAGCCGTTCTGAAATTTTCTCATGACTTTTTTTAAAATCTAGAAATGATTAATTGTAAAGGTCTGAAAATGACCCCACCCCACCCCCTCCCCCACCCCACCCCCTCCCCCACCCCACCCCCTCCCCCAACCCACTTCTTTTCACTAAATTTTGATCACTCCGGAGGCAGACTGCTCTACCCTGTCTGTCACGAATGACCCGAGCTGACAGGAAAATAATATCCCAAAAATGATTAATGAATTATGCTTTCCTGGGTGGGAATCGGGACTCATATCAAATGCTTGCTCGGCCGCAGACCGTAACCGTTCACCACAGACTCATGTCCCCTTAGTGCTCGCTTCTGTAAATCCTTGCGTTGGCGAGAAGTATGCACCAGAAAATCTTTACAGTGAGACATAGCTTCCAAATCATAGACGAGTCACATCAGCAAGGAAACCTTTTCGTGGATCCTGGAGAGGAGGGAGGAGCAGGGGAGCAGCCTTGGCATTTTACTGCCTGTGATGATGCCCATTCTACAACCTACTAAGTAACCAACTAACCAACTAACCAAGTAACTAAGTAAGCACGACGAGTTACAAGGCTCTCCTCATAGATACATCAGGCACACTAGGAAAAAGACCGAAGCAAGCTCTGAACTGTTTACAATTTAAAAGAGAGCAAAATCTTTGAGTTTCTTGAACATGTGAGTAAATTTCCTTCCTGAGAGGGCGGGATAAAGATTTAAAACCGATAAAAACTTTTGACACCCTTGTTTTACGGCGCGGCGGGTCATTTTGTCTAGTTGGCATTTGATTAATATTATTTATTTTCCTGAAGCGCTGTATCTTATGTCGTGAATGGGTTTAGAAAAGAGCAGCAAACTTTAATTCAAGATGGGGAGAGGGCGAGATGAAGTAAAAGAGAAGGAAAGCGAGACAGAAAGTCAGAGAAAGCCAGAGAAGGGAAAAGAAAGAGGGATAGAGACGTGGAACAACGAAAAAAGGAAAGAGTGGATCGGTAGAAGAAAGAGCGAGGGGGAGGAGGGAGAAACGGGAGGGGGGTGAAGAAGTAATAAACTAAAAGCGAGTAAGGAAAGAAAGAGAGACAGAGAGACTGAGAGAGAGAGGGGGGGGA